AACGCGAAAGTGCCTGTTGTTGCGGTATATGCTCCGCTCGCTCCGCAACTACACCTTTTCAATCTCAAATTCAACAATTGAAAGAACGAATCAGGTGAATGAAATTTGATTTCAAAAACGAATTCGAACTTTCACTTTCGACCGGTCTACGAAAATCGAACTTTAATTTCGAATTTGAACTTTCATTTCGTGAAACACCTTTCACTCGTCGAAAAACAAAGTTCATTTATCTGATTTGTTCTTTCACTTGCTGAAATTGAGATTGAAAAGGTAAGTGGAAAGTGTTGGAATATATGTACGTTTGCTGAGCTCAGGAATTTTCTGGTTTATATAGAATTTTACACACGAATTTGGGTAGAAGTGTACAGAAACCAATAAGAACCCCCCCCCCCCCAATTTTTCCCCAGAAACGTCTCATTATGACTAACACACTTACTATAGTTTTTTGAGGGGAAACTGATTTATATACGAAGTCTGACCATGTTCACATAGAGTTGATCATGTGCATATTTTCTCCCACTGGATGTGAGCGTATCGATAGGTCTCCGAGAGTTCGTCTGTCTCGTCAGGGAGAAGCAGTTTGCGAGTTCTGAAGCAACAGCTCGAGAGGCGTATTCGGATGTTACTAAGCGACGGCCTCGAGGAGGGATGCGGCGACCGAAGGGACTAGATTGGCCGGTGCCGACCTCGCTGGTATTGCCTGATCCAGTGTTTGCAAGAACTCAACTCGACGAGGAGGAAAAGGTCATCATTCCTCATGTAAGTCGACAGCTTTCATGGGTGGTAACCTGGAACTCTGAGACTGGGCGAAGTGCGATGAGGAGTATCAAGATTGAATAGTAAATTTCACAGTCGGATATCAATTTTACCGTCATCGGCGCCGGAAGCGGGTGCGGGAGCCTCTGAGCTTTTAGTAATAGTTTTAGTATAGGAGGATGTGGTATGCGATCACTCGGGTACAATTCTATCATGATCGTATGCTCGAATGTTGTAATTCGCCGCGGACTGAGAACTCGGCTGCTCAGACGTACTAAAGGGAAAATAGATTATAGCAATACTTAGGCAACAAGGCAATAATTCGATCACTAGCCTTAGCGTTGACACAAAGCTTAAAATAAAGGCGCGAATGGGTCAGGCGTCACAACTTCTACAGAATGTGTTGGAGGAATCCAACAGACTCATACCATCCCCTCCCTATTGTTGATCACCAGCACATGCCTATATCTAGGGTATTAATATGTGAATAAATTTCAGCATATATGAACGATGGAAGAAATTGATGGGTTAATTAATAGGAACGGGATGAATGCCAGTGGAATATGCCTCCGCATATTGTGATCCGATAGGATGCGTAATATGATAACAAATTATTGCTGGATCTTCATATTAGAGGAGGATAGCAGTGTGTATGTATACGGTGAGTATAATTCCAGTGTCGAGGTCTGATGGCCCTCCTTGCTCCCCAAGTTGTGATTAATTGGAGGTTCATCATCCTC